ATCAAATCAGTTTGTTATTCCGGCGGTGTGTGTGTGCATGTGTGTGAGTGTGAGTGAGAGGAAAAAGGTTGAAAGATATCAGCATCATTTTTTTTAGATGTATCAGATCAAGATTGACTGGATTTGCATCATTTGGGCATTATGTCTGCTCATGAACACGTCGCCCCAAAGCTCAAAACAAAAGATCCCAGAATGTCTGGACAAATCCTTCAGCCGACTGACAGAAGATGGGACAGATTTCTGGATAAGAGGATGCCCTGGATGATTGAAGATGGATGTGGAGAGAATTGAGTGTCTCATAACACAAGTATTAAAAATCACATGAAGCTTATTTGTACTATGTGTGCAAATCAAAACTGTAAGCCCCCCCCAAAAAAACAAAGCCTCCCATCTCCTGTCAGCGGAACAGGCTTTGTTTGTGGAGTCGTTCACAGATTGAAGACTCGGCTTGTGGTTTCAAGCTTTCAAACAGTGAGTGAGAGGTTTCGGATCAGAATAACAACTCGGTTTTTGATCAGTAATTTGGCAAAATAAACAAAGACACAAGTGAAACTGAAAAATAAAGGCCTGTCTTTGTTGCTGAATCCTTTTATTGCTAACAAATAAAAGAGTAGACTATACATATAGTAGAAATACAGGGAATTAAGTCATTTCTTTTAGTTAAAATATCCAGAAGTCACTGCAAGCTTATAATATCCTCCGGTGCCGTAGCATTGTTCCGACCTCTCATTGTTCTGACCTCTCATTAGTCCGACGTCCCGTTGTTCCGATATGTGATTATACTAGGCTATACTGTATTTGTGTACCATAGAGGATCAGCAACGCAACAAAAGTAGGCTACTGGTCGAGATACAAGTGCCACAGAGAGAAGAGAGTGAAACACCATAACCTCCTGTTATGGTCGGGGTTGTGTGGGGAGCTCTCCGCGGTGTTGAACGGCTCCCAGCGGGCGTATTTCTGCCTTGATGGTGCGCCGCGACTGGCTCTGGGTCAGCTGGAAAAGACTTGAGGTGAAGCAGGCTCACGGCTTATGTGTTTGCCACTTTCTTTTTCATTTTAACCCACACCATGATCTTTTCCTGACCCTAACCAAGTGGTTTTTGTGCCTAAACCTAACCAGACCTTAACCACAGGGCATCATGATGATTTAGGGACTTAGGAACAATGAGTTTAATATGGTCGGAACAATGGGCTGTCGGACAAATGGGCTGTCGGACCAATGGGCAGACCCCATATCCTCCTGAGACCCCATGTCCTTATGAGGACCTTACATAATGGGTTTACTGGACCTTATACTTCACTCTTCTTAACTTAGACCTGTTGTCCTTGTTCATGGACATTATTTTGTGCCATCTAGTGGTAGTAAGAGCTAGGGCTGTACCCAAATATTCGGATATTCGAATATTCGTTTCTATGGGTAGGTATTTGTTATGAAAATTTGGTATTCGTTTTTTTTTATTTACTTTTTTAATTTTTTTTATTTTAACATATCTTTTTGTTGCTAAATGTAGTCTTTTTGTTGTTGGAAAATGTAGGTTATCAATAAAAATCAAAACTTTTAAATTGCATTGTTAAAAATGTGAAAACATAGTATAGCTTACCAACTGAGCTTGTGCGCACGGCACGCTTGAGCGCATCCGTCTGAGGCTGTGGATCAATGCCAAGTTTTACCACTTTATCACTATTCCCTCTAACTTGTAGCTTTTTTTCCGTTATCTTTTGAAGTTAATATGAATTATGGAACCATTTTTGTCAACGTTTGCTTCCCCTGTTTTGTACAATAAATTATTGTTTAAAGTTTCAACAAGTTTCTTTTGGAGTGCGTGACACAAGTGTGTTTTGAAAACAACCACAGACTGTCACCTGCTCAACGCATCAGTACCTTCGGATGCCGTGACAGTAATAGCCAATAATGTCAAAATATCATTTACAGACCGATTTAACAGACGATCACTGCTGCCCGACACGCAGGTCCATTCGCGGGTCCCGCGGGTTACGGATCGACCCGCGCATCACTACTCAGCTCAGTCTATAAATGCTCTACAGTGCACGGCACTGCTGATTAACCATTTCATTGCAGCACAGCATGTCTGCCAGCAACCAATTACTTGCAGAGGCTTCCTACCGCTTGTTTCAACGTTTCGATTTAATCAGAAGACAAATTAAACAAGATGACTAGCCAATGTGAAAATCAAAAGAAAGCATAGAATAATGTACTGAAGGAGACTGTTGTGCCATCACATTTTTTTGTGGTTTGAGAGCAAAGATCCGGTCGCTGCTGTGCAACTGTGCAAAACTCCGCGATACGATTAGGTCCGAAAAAACCCCGGAGTCTGCTGCCGCCCCCCCGCACCCCCCCCTGTTGGACTGTTGGTTTGACAAAACGAGCAATCTCAAAAATTGTACTCTGCAAAATTATGAGAGGCATTTTGTTCAAATTTCTGATTTTTCATGGACTAAAGCTATTAAAGCTACTTTTAAAGTTACTAAAGCTATTAGTCAAGCAAATTATTGTCAAATTAAAAGCCGTTTCTCACCATTGCTGCCTGAAAATGCAATGCCGGAATACAGAAAGTTCATATTTGCACACCTGGTGTGGTGTAAATTATGCGCGGTAATGTTTTTGATTTTCATTTGAAAAAATAAATAGATAAATTGCGAATAAAGCCCAAAGAGTTTCCTCCTAGATAGTGCCTATCCAGACAGAAAATGTTTGGGACTACTCTTAACTACTCAATGCATAAACTGATCGGACCTGTTTTAATGCTAACACTAGCCAGCTCAGTGGCCTAGCGGCAGAGTGTCCGCCCTGAGACTGGTAGGTCGTGGGTTTGATCCCTGGCCGCTATAAAAATGGAATTCATTGCCTCCCTGCTTGGCACTCCGCATCAGGGGTTGGAATTGGGGAGTTAGATCACCACATGATTCCCGAGCGCTGCTGCTCACCGCTCCCTCAGTGGATGGGTCAAATGCGGAGAACTAATTTCACCCTGGACAGGTCTTCAGACTATCACAGACACATAGACACGGGAAGAACATGGTTTTATAAATCTATGCAAACTTTTCAGATGAAAATCCATGCTTGGTGTGAAACGGCTTTAACTGAGACTCAGACTTTAGTTTATTTAAAATATCTGTTCACTTTACAGACAGTAAAAAACAGCAGAAAAGAAGACACACTATATTATATGTAAAAAAAATACACACACTGCCACACGCATACATCCACAGGTAATAATGTGAATATGGCAACAGGTTGAGGTTAGCAATGATCAAAAAACAGAGATCATACAGTATAACTGTAACAGTTTTGGGGTATTCTGTATTATTCTTCATTATTCAGGATCCCCATCAGTTGTCACAGCAGTAACAATTACTTTTCCTGGGGTCCACACAGGGGTATCTACTCTACTTGTCAATAAGTTGAAAAATTAACAGTGGTTTGGGTTCCCTGCTGATAAAAGGAATGCTCATAGTGAACCAGAAAAAGATGCGTTTTCAGCCTGGATTTGAAAGCATCAACAGAGCTTGCCTCCCGAATGTGCAATAAGAGATTATTCCAGAGAAGTGGAGCTTGCAGGGCAAAGGCTCAACCACCAGAAGAGATCTTATTAAATCAAGGAATGGTTAAGTAACCAGCATCAAGGGAACGTAAAGGGTGTGATGAAGTATGTGGAGAAATCTGTCTGAGGGAGCCCGACCATTTAAAGCCTAGAGGTGAAAAGGGGGGGGGTTTGAAATCAGGTCTTGCGTGAACCAGTAGTCAATGCAGAGACATCAGTACAGATGTTATATGATCCAGCTTCTAAGATCTTTTGAGCCAATTAAAGACCTTTTGTTGCTGCAGAAGTACATTACAGTCATCAATTCAGGATGTTTAAAAGACAATGATACAGAAATAACTGATAGCTGCAGCCCTGTGATATATTTTTTATTCAGAGGGGGCCCTTTATGAAGAATATAGTGTATTTTATAGTGTAGCATTGATAACAGGCTTCAACCATTTTAAGTGAAGAAGTCCAGCTTTCAAGTTTTACTGTGCCAGAGAAAACCTGACCAACTCTCTCAGCATGGCTGCCATTAGCTCTCATCAATACCTCAGGGGTTTGCCATCCGCTCCCCCACCATGGCGAGAGTCAGTGGGTGCTGGGATGGGCTGCCACACGCCTGCTGTGATGTGATGACGCTAATAAAGGAGCGTGACAGGGCCTCTGTGGATGGCTCCTCTTTATAGGCGGTTGGCTGAGAGGCGAGGAAGGAGACAGAAGCTGGGAGGTGTGGGAGCTGTGGGGGTGAGGTGCTACAGGCAGGCGGCGTGGCTGATCCCGACGGTTCTGCTACAGCTCACATCAGAGCTGCCGCCTGCCCGGTTGATCTCCATACAGGCTGGGAGGAAGCCACCCGGTGTGAGATTTGGGAGGGGTGAGGGTGGTGGTGTGGGGGGATTCCCAAGGTGTTCAGCCAGCTATTCCCTCCCAGAATGTGCCTGTGTCACCATGACAACTGGGGCCAGCAGGAGTCCGGGGATTCACTCACACCTGGAGGAAACAGAAAACATCATTTGCATTTTGCACACAGCCCTGCTCATCATAGTAGATTAACATGGTTTATGCAGAGTGCAGACATGTTGGATGGCTGACAGCTCTGGTCCAGACCTGCTTTGCTTTTTAGTGCATGAGATAAGACAGTGTTTGATTGCTAATAAGGAGCTGAACTGCAGGCGATGGAGTCCAGTAGTTCAACATAAAAAGGAAACAGATCATCATTATGGACAGACGCTTCTTCAAGTGTCTGTAAACAAGATGCAGCGTGATCCCACTGATGTCACTGAATCCCACTTTGTTTTTCATCACGATCCAGAAGTATTCTGATGACACGATGTATCTGTTTGCCATAATACAACATGCATTTCACCACATTTTTTTTCTTCTTAATTAACATATTTTCCAAGTATTCCATCTTTATTTTTAGACTGTCAATCTGCTTCCTCTCCTTGGCAGGGTTTCTGAGGAGAGCGTGGAGTTCTTTGAGCGCGTGAATGCCATTCTTCAGAAACAGGGGAACATGCTGCGGGCTGCGCAGGCTGAGGTAACCTCCTCCTAATTTCTACCTTCTCCATCTGTTACACCCTTAAAGCACGTGCGTGTGGCGCGTAGGCCTCAGCGCTGTCACTCAGGGCAGTATGACGCGTATTGACAGAAGGGCTGGGTTAGGTTTGGTGCTCAGAAGACTGAAAGCTCAGCTGTGACAAGCTGCTGTCAATGGCTGTGTTCAGCTCCTCTTGCTGCCAATGCTAATAAGGCAGTGGTGTTGTATGAACATCTTTGCCGAAGTGAAGTCTTCATTTCCAAACTGCTGTAAGGCAGGAGGGACAAAAAAAAGACTCAACACTTAAGAAACAGCTACACTTCATGTCATAATTGGGAAGACATAGTTTCCTCGAAGAGGCTCAACGTTGGCCTGTTTTTCTTATTGTGGATGTCTACATTTGGAGTGAGTCCCCAGATTGTCCTGTTACAATTGCTGCCCCTCTGCCACTGGCCCCCTTCTGGCAAAAATCTATGGCCAATAATACTGTCTCAAAGAGGCTGTGACACACTCATCTATTCAGCTAGCATGAATGTTGTGGTATTGTGTAAAATTAGACAACTGAATGCATCAATTGACCTTTCGCTAAGCCCCGCCCCTTTGTGATGGTCCAACAAGCTGTCAGAGTAAGCATGGAGCCCACACTGTAACTAACTACACTCCCTGAAGAAATATTATCATATTTTTGGACAGATGAAACAGTGATTCCAGAGAGAAGCAGACAGAGGGGTCTGCAGTCTGTGTTTGAAGGATATATCCAGGATGTCAAACTGACTCAGCAGCAACAACAGGTTAAAAAGACAAAGATAGTTAGAAGCTAAAGCCGAACTATAGGCTACAGATCACAGTGTAAAAGTGAACCACCACATCAATGAATATAAAGGGAAACTTTGCTGATATTGAACCAGCTGTGTGGCATCACAGTGTGTGCAGATGAATGGTGTTTGGCTTCACCCCCGTGCCGCTGCCAGCGCCCGGACCTCAGCCGACAGATGGGCAGGGATCTCTGAGGGCACACAATGCACAATGCGATGACACAGAGCTGGTTGAATATCAGCAAAGTTTTTGTGCTTCCCTTCACTGGTTCCTGTACAGCAGGGTCGGTCTTTGTTTCACTGTTATAATCATTAAAAAGCAAAAGCAGCATGTGTACATTCAGTAGGCTATATCTTCAGTAGCTAGCTAGCTAACCCTACACTCTTCAGGGTTTGATTTTGGTTTTGGAACAGGGAAGAAACGTATATCTTTTTCCAACTTCTCCAGGTAACGAGTATCATTAATACACAACGTGCCCCAGGCACAACATTTAGCTCCAAATCCACAAAACCAGCCTGAAAATGAAGGAAATCTGAAACGACTGCATTAGAGTCAATAGAGCACAGCTGTGTTGTTGTCAGACCTTTGTCTGAGCCAGCCCAATGCTACGTTATGATTGGCCAGTCTGCATCTAGGGGCGGGACTTAGCGAAGGGTCAATTGGTACTAACCATGTGGACATAGCTCGCCAAGGGGGGGCTAAATATTGTTCCAAAATTAAGCTAAATTTTGGCCAAGGAAAAGCTGATGTTGCCATTTTCACAGGGGTCTCTTGTACTCTCACCTTATGAAAATGGGTTTTATTGAAACCCACAAGTCTCTCATAAACTTGAAAAGAAATAAAGATAGGAAGAAAGAAAGAAAGAAAGAAAGAAAGAAAGAAAAAGAAAAATCCAATATTTTACAAAAAGCAAAGATTAGGAAGAAGTCCAAAAAATGCATACAAAGTTGTTATTTTACACCCCAAGATTTATCTTCTGAACTTTTGGAAAGGGCCTGACCTTAAATAAGGAACCACTGGACTAAACTACTTCCAAGAGATAATAAAATAAGACAGGTTTTGTTAAAGATGAACTTTTCCTGACCCCTCACAGTGCCAGAGAGGGGCCTGCACAGTCCCGCCGCCCCAAGAGCACGTGGACCAGGCTTTCATCCCCGACAGAATCAGAAGGACAGAGGTGCGTCAGCTCAGCGTTTCTGTTTTCATCAGATTTTCAGCGGGGATTACATTTTAAAAGTCACGATAACAGAACCCCCTCCCTGCCTTTGATGTGCAGCAGAGCAGAAACCATGAAGGAACACGAGCTTTTATTTTTGAAGGGTTGTTATTAAGTGGAGTGTGTTTTCATGTAGCTGGACCTGCTTTATGAGGAAGCTGTGTACACTGTGGTCAACCGTGTGGGAGTGCCATCATCCGAACATGTGAAAAGTGACGAAGAGCTGTTTGCTTACTTGCTGAAGGTACCTGTCCATCAACCCAACCATGCACTCACTCATTCATCCATCCATCTATCCATCTATCTATTTTCTGAGCTCTATTAAATGTGTGTTAGTAACACTGCTGCACGCCTCATAGAGAGTGTTATTTGTTGTGAGCAGGCAGTAAGAATCTGAGCAGATGCTCTTGGCTCAAACCTGATTAAACATCAAAGCCCAGTCACGCTGTGTACTGATATTCAGCTGTGATATTACATCCATTCAGATGAAATCATGTCAAGGATTGTAGCGTCTTTCATGTCAGGAGTGGGTGTATTTTTTTTTTTCACCTTGTGTTATGTTCCCAGCTGGTCAGGTGCTGTTTTATAAAAGAATTTCAGCGGTGTTATAATGAACAGTGGTGCATTTTGAATTGTGAAAAAGAACCTGGGTGTTTCGAGAATGTTTAGACAGGTTTCTGCCGCATAAAGAAAGCTGTTTTACTGTCTGACCATCTCTTCAAGGTGTTTGATATGGGCGAGGAGGAGCATGATATCATTCTACAGAAAGTTCAAGAATCCAAGGTGAGACTCTTTGTGTGTAAGTCACTTTCCATTCAGATGTTGCCATAACAACATCTGTCAGATATACTACAGCAGTGAGAGCTAACACCAGATGTCTGTACTTAAAGGGTAACATTTATACTAGTCGTTAAATTTCCGTTCTGTGCTGATATTATCCCACTTTTGACTATATATAACATATTATTGAGAAGTTTTTATTATAAGATGAAGTACGTGTGATGTAAAATAGGTCATATTTTGTTTGCAGTAGATTCCCCCAAATTGTAAAACTGAGTGGAGGCTTTATGACAATGGTGCTGCCAATGGGTGGCCGGAGAGGGGCACAGCTACCCTTTCAAAACATCCTAGCACTGACCATTCAGTGACGTTTACCAATCTGTGGTGCTTCAAACTCATACTGCATTTAGGCAATATTACACAAGACAGTGTGTTTTAACATAATTTGTGGCACGATAGTGATGCTGTCAGTGCCACAGATGACGTTAAAGCACACCCTCAAGATAAAATAAAAATACATGTCAAAATGTATCATGTTGCGGGGCAATTAGCACTCAAAATAAAGAAAAAACATTTCATGACTGTTGTTTCTGTTTCCATTGAAATACATAGGGTCTGACTAACTGGAAAAGAATCAGTCAAGTCAGTAGACTACTATATGTTATGAAACCTAGTTTACTCCTTCAGCAAATAGATCAACCTCAGTAACGACCTAGCAAGAGACCTGTTTTCTAGTCCCTGTTGAGTCCACCAACCAACATGAGCTGAATACTTTCTAGGGATCATCGGATTTCCCAAACTAAATAAATACCCCATGTATAAACAGCTAAGTCTTGTTACGACTAAAGCCCCTTTTACACTGCCAGATTTTTGCGAATGTTGGACCGTTTTGCCGGCAAAGTGTGAGCGTTTGGACACACAGAGCCGGATTGGCAAGTTGATCCGAGGTGCCCAATTTTCTGCCCCGCAGGGTAGTCATATTGGCGGAAACCTTTTTAGTTTAAAAAGACCGAGGCGGCCTTCAGCAACGGGAGGGACTGTTGATGACTTGTGGGAGGAGCTATTGATGACGCTGCACGTGCGACCCACTGGCGGTGGATTAACAGGAAACAGCTGATAGCAAGAATTAGTGAGCAGCTAGTAGCAAGAGGGAAAGGCAAACCTGACAGACACTGTAAAGATGAGCAACTGGGGAGACAAAGAATTGCGCGCCCTCCTTGCCCTCGCAAACGAAGAGGCCAATAACCGGCAGATGACGGGGACTGCAAAGGACTGGCCAATTTACGAGAGAATCGCAGAAGGACTGACTAGCTGGGGCTTCCCTCCCACATCCCTGTTTACGTCACAAGCTGAGCTACACGTTTTGTGACTTGCTCACGCCCCCCATTGCCCCGAAAAAGGTGCATTCTGTATAAACGTAGTAAAAAGTAGGCAGGCGGCATTTTGCCGCACTCCCCGATTTTATTTTAATACTGCCAGTGCTGAAAGAAGACTGATTGGGCTTTCCTGCAAATTTGCACAATTCCTGTCTAAAAAGGGCTTAAGATATCTACTGAAAAAAGTTTTGTTTTTTTTTTTCCCCATGAATAGATTTAGCTCCTACATCCACAAACTTTGTTTATTTAACCTTTATTTAACCAGGAAGTCCCATCAAGATTAAAAATTTCTTTTACAAGAGAGACCTGGCCGAGGTAGCAGCCAATCAAAACACATTTAAAATGCAACAAATACAACATATAATACAAATTTCCACAAAAACAACAACAACTATTCCAACATAGTGGCCTCACTAAAAAAAAAAACAAGCACATGTCTCTGTCATTCTTTGTAGTGCCCTTAAATTCGTCAATGGATATAAGTGTTTCTAATTTTAGATATTTCTGAAGATTGTTCTATGTCCAAGGTGCAGAGTAGGAGAAAACCGTTTCCCCAGATCTGTTAAAACCCAGGGTACATTATAAAGCAGCCGTTTGGAGGAGCGTAGCTGGTAACTACCAGAGCTGACACACTGAAGGGTGCAGAAGTGCTAAAACATGCAAATCCTCTGTTAAGGTTTTTACTAAAACATTAAACGCATAATAGCAGTGGTGACAAAGGCATCAATAAATCCTCAGTTGTGCAGCCACAGGTTGTGTTTTAGTACATTGCCTTATATTTTCATGCTCATATATTGTGAGCAGTGCAGTAGTAATAAGGTGAAAGCATAGCCTGGAGAGAAACAGTTGGCCTCAAAGAGTTGAAAGATATAAGACCTGTAACACTGAAAGCCACTTTGTTATAGTAGGAATTTGTGTCTTTTACTTTACTGCAAAGGACCTTTGAAATATTTGTGTTAAGATCTGTGATCCATAATATGACTGAGTGCTGAAAATGTAGTGACCAGAGTGAAAATATTTTGCCATTCAAATAATCTCCATTTTTTTCCTGTGGTGGAGCATTGAGTTTTTCTGCCTTGCAACTTATGAAGCCAGTATATAGAATAAAACATATAGGATGTGATGACTCACATTCTCACTCTGTAATGCACGCTGATGTTTGTTTAAATGGGGATCCAGGAGAGTCGTGTTAAAGAAAGCACTGTAATGTACTCAGTGTATGTCTTTGATTTGTCACATTTTACAGTTTCTTGCTGGACAGACAGAAAATTTCTTTTTTGTTTCGCAGCGAGCCAGCTTTTCCTTGAGAGTTTCTGTCATGAAAGCAAAGAGTCTGATGGCCAAGGATGCAAATGGTGAGATATGTCAACTATTAAATTACCCTAAATTTTGTCCACTGGAAAACAGAAAAGTTCTGTGAAATATGACTTGCAGGTTTGACCAGCAATGCTGATGCAATGCATGATAGGTATGATCCTGTCCAACCTGCTTGTGACTTTTTGTGGTGTTAACATGATAATTGCTGTTGGGTTCGTGAAAACTACCACTGCTCAGAGGCTGAATATATTACAGGATCTTCATAGGCAAATGTTAAGCCCCATGTCCTAATTGACCTCTCACAAAGCCCCGCCCCTTTGTGATGGTCCAACAAGCTGTCGGAGTAAGCATGGAGCCCACACTGTAACTAACTGCACTCCCTGAAGAAACATTATCATATTTTTGGAAAACTGAAACAGTGATTCCAGAGAGAAGCAGACAGAGGGGTCTGCAGTCTGTTTGAAGGATATATCCAGGATGTCAAACTGACTCAGCAGCAACAACAGGTTAAAAAGACAAAGATAGTTAGAAGCTAAAGCCGAACTATAGGCTACAGATCACAGTGTAAAAGTGAACCATCACATCAATGAATATAAAGGGAAACTTTGCTGATATTGAACCAGCTGTGTGGCATCACAGTGTGTGCAGATGAATGGTGTTTGGCTTCACCCCCGTGCTGCTGCCAGCACCCGGACCTCTGTAGCCGGACTATCTGGGACCTCCTGGGGAAGTCAAACACTGTTCTTCTACGCACACTGTGATGACACAGAGCTGGTTGAATATCAGCAAAGCTTCCCTGCTTCCCTTCACTGGTTCCTGTACAGCAGGGTCGGTCTTTGTTTCACTGTTATAATCATTTAAAAGCAAAAGCAGCATGTGTATACCTTCAGTAGGCTATATCTTCAGTAGCTAGCTAGCTAACGCTACACTCTTCAGGGTTTGATTTTGGTTTTGGAACAGGGAAGAAACGTAGATCTTTTTCCAACCTCTCCAGGTAACGAATATCATTAATACACAACAGGCACAACATTTAGCTCCAAATCCACAAAACCAGTCTGAAAATGAAGGAAATCTGAAACGATTGCATTAGAGTCAATGGAGCACAGCTGTGTTGTTGTCGGACCCTGGTGTGAGCCAGCCTTATGCTCTGTTATAATTCGCTAATCTGCACCTGGGGGCGGGACTTAGCGAAGGATCAATTGAGTCTTACATCCATCATTAATGTGTGTATTCGTACCTTTAATATTGTGAGGGTTTTGGTATTTGGATAGTATGTCTTTATTATGAGATGGAAAGAAGGTTGGGGGGTGCATGTTACTTACATGGCATTTCTATGAAAAATATTACAAACATATAATACACAATATGTGTCAGCCAAAAAAGATTATAGGACTTTCTTTTTGTCCAACATGGCTGCAGGTTTATGTAACTTCCCCTGACCACAGTCCACTTTCCACATGAGGCGGTATTAATCTCAAACAAGCCCGTTATCAAACAGACACACTCATTACACTGACGGGCACTTTACCAAAACACAATACTGACTTTAATTACAAATGAGCCCAAAGGCTTCCCCTCTTCTCGCTGCCATAACAGCATCATTAGGGTGATATTAACAGTTTGTGCAATAACCTTTTCTATGTGTCATCCCCGGCCTGCCAGGTTACAGCGACCCCTACTGCATGCTGGGAATCCTGCTGGGCCAGAGCCCACGGGAGATGGAGGAGAAGAAAGAGAGAAAGTTCAGCTTCAGGAAGAGAAGGGAGAAGCTGGAGAAACGCTCCAGCACCAAGGAGGTGCTACCTGCCAGGTGTATCCAGGTGACCGAGGTCAAACCGGAGACTCTCAACCCGGTGTGGGACGAGCACTTTGTGTTGTGAGTACAGCAGTTTAACCTCCAGCAGAACATGGTGATATGTGTGACATGCACGATTCACAGTTTCATTTGTTTCACACTGAAGTCCAAAGCTGTGAGTTACAGTATGTGACCAGTGCAGCAGAGTGTCATCTCTGTGAGGACTGATGTGTCAGTGTTTACTCATGGAGATTAATGACTTCCCTGGTTTTTGGTTGTTGTTTCTTCACAGTGAAATAGATGATGTCCACAATGACCTCTTACATCTTGACATATGGTAAGAATAGAATGCAGCAACACCTTAAATATCAACATAAAGGACCAATAAAGTTTTTTAATGATTATCATGAGATTAGATTAGGTGTAATTTGCTTTGTGTCCGATTGTTTTTTGTGTTTCTTGCGTCACAGATAACAAAAGAAATAGATTCAGTATAGTATACTATACTATATAAACAGAAAGACTGATCCAACAAATGTCTTTAGGTTTGGTACTCTCTCATTTTAAAATCACTTGACAAAAACAATTTAAATCAATGATTTATTTTTCAAAATCTTAACAAACTGCTTATTTTTCAACATTGTTATGCCTCAGCACCAGCGACGGCCATTGGTTGTCTGCATGTACATCCATCCCATTCTTGTAAACGCAATATCTCAAGAAGGTCCTAGGGGAATTTCTTCAAATTTGGCACAAATGTCCACTTTGACTTAGAAATGAACTGATTAGATTTAGGTGGTCAAAGATTAAGGTCACTGTGACCTCACAAAACATGTTTTTGGCCATAACTCAAGAATTCATACACCAATTGTGACAAAATTTTGCACAAATGTCTATTAGAATAAAACTCTGAAGTGATGACATTTTATATCCAAAAGGTCAGTGGTCAACTTTGATATCACATCGTGATGTTCTCCAAAAACACTTTTCTGGCCATTATTCAAGGCCATAATTCATATACTAAATTGACACTAATCTTGGGTGTCCACCTTGTGCTGGTTGTATAGATCTTAGTCTTGTCTAATCTTGTTCTGCTGGGTTGATGACATGTGTAAAGCATCCATGTTTTGGAATATGTAGTATGGAGCTACTTTGCCGCAACGTACATATTAGAAGCACTGCCAATTGTCATGGCTATATGTGTCTGAACAGACATGGATGTAAACTGTAAAACAACTTGACTGGTTTGTGGAGGCATAAAACAGATGGTGGTATTACTAGTTTTTTCCTTTTTTTTGCACACACTCATTTTGCAATCAGTTTTTCAATCAGCAAGCAAACAGAAAAGGTATTTGAGGTTGGATGAGAAAGATTGATTTTGGTTATACTTGATCATTTAATCCGTTATGTCCTCCAGTGAGAATATTATCAGTGTACAGATAAAGTTACGTTTTAACTTCTAAACTACCGTAAAACTATTAAAAGCCTGGTCCCACTTAAACACCCAGTCCATTTTACTAGCCCAGTGTGGCTACACATAAACAAATAAACGCCTGTCTCAATTGGTCTGGTTGCCAAGCAGTTCATTTTTTTAATAGGAGTTCTTGATGTATAAAAGCAGGGTGTTGGCTACTTCAGATTATGTGTCCATTCCTTAATTACCCCGTAAGTTATCCATATTTCTGTAGTCCGTAAGGGTCCCCAGATCAAAAGAATCAAAAGGGTTTTTCATAAAAAATTAATCTTAGTTGTGAGTATTGTTTTAACAGGGTGTTGTGTTGGTATGCCAAGAGCCGTAATTCTCAAGTGCTAGACCAAATGAATGATTCATAATATATATGTTATCTGAAGCCGGATTTTTAAAGAAGTAATATTCATACTGGTCTAAATAAACAGTTTGATTGTATTTCCCACTCTTTGCTGAGGAACAAGTTTGTTGAAAAGACCGGTTGAAGAGTCGTTTTTTAGCGAGAAGAGAAACGTTTCTCATGTACGGTCAGAGCTCGGCTAACAGCAGGCTCTTGACTCTTGAAAAGTTAAGTGCTGTTGGCAAATGCTTCTCTTGAATGGGGCTAAATTGTAGGTCTCCTTCTCTTCTCAGTTCCGTTCATTGTTGTGCAACAATAATGATGTTGGAGGATACGAGAGGTTGTAATAACCTCTGAATTTCCCTCTTTTTCACAGGGATCATGACGACGACGTGTCTGTTGCTGAGGCCTGCAAAAAGCTCAATGAAGTCAGTGGACTTAGAGGAATGGGCAGGTAGAGCAAACTGTACTGTGTATTCCTGGGCTACCATTAATGTAATGAAGTGTAATGATGTCTTATTTGCTTGTTTCGTAAGAGATGCTGGATATTCAGTCTGCAGCCTTGTTAGTTTTTGTGCAGCTTAATCACAAATTGCAATTTTATGCACAATTAATATAAGTTGGTAATTAATTTATTCATCCAGTTGGCATTTTGGCAGTGAATAGATGAGTCATTCAGCATGTCAATCAAAGGGTAATTTCCATTTGAATTAAGCCAGAAGTTGCTGTAAATGGATGAAGAGCGTTCTCTGAATTTGTTGAAAAATACCAACACCAACCTGCTTGTTAATTTTAGAGGATAGTTTGGTGTTTGTCCTTTTAACCTTAAAGAAAGACTGACATACAGAGAGCCCGGTGCCAATAACGCTGGGCACACAGAGAACACAGAGAGTTCAACCAGGGTTGGGGAGAGACTAATAAATAGCAGACATGTCTAATGAAAACCTGAGAACGTCAATTATAACCAGGGGACAAAAGGATCATAATGGTGTGGCAGAAAATGTGCAATTTCCATTTTGAACAAAAAATCATAGTAACAGCAAACTTTCATTAGAAAATGAAACTCATTCTGCCGATGCTCTAGTTGTAAGTCACAGTGGATAAAAGCATTAGCTAAATGCCTAGAAACAAAAATTGTTAAATTATAGCTGTCACAGTGCATTTCATTGTAAATTCGACCTGTGACAAACAAGACTGCCTTTTCCTTGCACTCTTGCTTTTCCTTGTCAGGTATTTCAAGCAGATAGCAAAGTCAGTGCGTGCCAATGGATCTGCATCATCGGGCTCTGAGGAGAACGCAGATGACTTCCTCGGATGCATCAACATCCCTTTGAATGTGAGTGTTTGAAGCTCAAAACAAACCCTCTGTTGTCACAGGCGTCTAGCTACAGCACGGTGACAAATCAAACACAACCACAGATAGATTCTCCAAAGGATGCAGTGTGAAGTATTTCCCAGGAAGTATGTATGTCAGTGGGGTTAAACTGGCTGGTTTCCTTGTTGTAGGAGATCCCAGTTATTGGCTATGACACCTGGTTTAAGCTGGAGCCTCGATCGAGTACATCTAAAGTTCAGGGCGAATGTCACCTGATACTGAAGCTCTTCACCAGCCAGGTCTGTGTATTCACTAAACAGAGTTTTAGAATTTACTCCTCTTTTTGCATGTGTACGATGTGAATAATTACAGTTTTTAACACACTCTTTAACTTTCTTTCAGAGAGACACAACTTTGTCTAAGAGAGAATCAAATGTCTCTATCCACAAGAAACTGCTGAGTCAGATTGTGGAGTATGAGCACGCTCATGTTAAGGTGAGTTTCAAAGCAAAACCACCAGTTTAACATACTGTAATCGTAGTTACATTTACACACTTTATGTATTGTTATTATTTTATAGTCATGATTATATTTTGCATTGTTAGTCTGCTGTATGCCGTATTGTAAAAGCAAGCGGTAACCTTCAGGGCTGAAAAATGAAGCCAACATAGAATCGCCAAAAATTGTAGTTCCTTGAATGGCCACTTGAGGCTGGCTCCAAGAGTGAGTCAGTCCCCTGAGACACTCATGTTAAAATGCCCAACTTTACAGCAGGAATAAACATGTTTGCATAGTTAAGGGTGTGGCCGCTTTGAGTGAAATCTGGGTGCCGTCCGTTGGTAAGTTGCTGCAATGTTGGTGAGGTAACATCATCATGACATAAGTGCTACATAGTGCTATTACAGTGTGTTTTCAGAACATGAAAGTAAATTGTAAGATTTTGGCCCCCTGAAAAAGTCCTCTTCAGCCTTTAGTTGTATCATCTAAGATGTCAGATGTTTAGTTTTTCCAGTAAGTACGTTTTGGGTTTCAGACTGTTTTTTTGCTGGTGGAAATTAGCATTAGCATTATCACAGTTAGCCATAGACTGTTGCACCAAAGCCCCCGGGAACAACCCCGGGCTTAAGCCAATTTTACATGGTGCAATGCAGAATTACAATGACTGATTCCATCACTTAATGTCACAGGGCCCAGAAAGACACACTGTGAAAGAGACATACATTTTTTAGTCGCAAACCCCGCAAAATGACTCATTTCACAATTAGGATTTGATCCATTTGATGTGATAACATTTCTAAAGTCTAGAAAAGCTGCACGATTAAATCATTTTTATTCCCATTCAAGGTGGCGGAGGGCCAAACCAGAAGTTAGCCTCTTGGCCACCGTCTGTGGTGTGCTTGTTATGTGGGTGCCATGAAGCGGAAGATTTTGGTGATTTCATATCGCAGAAATCAAGCTTTTTGGCCTCAGGCGACACGACGCAATTTTCATAGGAATGTACCAGGCTCCACCTCCGACATTGTATCCAGTTCTCTTTATACATCCATGAATGCACCATGCTAACCAAGCTAGCATTAGGGTTAGGTCCACCCTCTTGTCCAAATATGGTCACTTCTGGCGCTAAAAGTCCAAGATGGCGACGATCTAACCACCAAACTCGAGACTTCAAAACAGGAGTCCACAAACCAATGGGTGATGTCACATAAGCTTATACAGCCTATGTGTAACACAAACTGATGTTTTTGATGAGTACGAACAGATTCTTCTCGGACTGACATAGTGATCATTCACATATTATTCTAGCGAGAGCCCTACAACTGGAACGGGCAGGTTTGTCCTCCAGCGTGGACCGTACTGACTCACCATGCTGTGCAAACTGATCTCTCACCTCTCCAACAGGCCATTATGTGAGTATTAATGGAGAAATAAAATTGATCAAATCAAATATGAAAGCTTAAACGTCTGGTAAAACGTGCATGTATTACTTTTTAACCCAGTCGCTGGCAGTGCTACAGCAGCCACCATCGGACCCAGAGGGTGTGCTACTCCCTGCTGCTGCGCCTCCTGAGGACCATCGATGCAGAGTGGGACCCCACTGCTGTGAGGGGAGACCTAGTAGGTTTTTCCGCCTTTGGTCTATTATCAAAAAAAAAAAAAAAAAAAAAAAAAAAGAGAAAGAAATTCCTCTCATCATCTGGAAAGTCACCTCATTAGATGAGCTCTTCACTGACATACATCAAGGTTTTTGGTTCAGCCAAAAATGTCTCACAGCCAGTGTACTTGAAGCTATAACTGAGGGCCCTTCCTGTGTCCAGGAGAGGCAGCTGTCAGACAGCTTCAGGCTGTACACAGAGCACTGCCTGTGCCTGATGAAGAACATGCGTCAGGTTTTCCCGTGCACCAGCGCTGCTGCCATTACACGCTACGAGCTCATGCTGAGGTAAAGTCACACTGCCATCACATCACATCAAACACTCGCCTGTGCTGTCATACCAGGCACACGCCTAACCTCTCACCCTAACAGACACAGAGAGACTTCAACCAGTCAGTCATGCTCTGTTCAAGAAGCAGTGTTGGGCTCCTTAAACAGAAATATCTTAATCATTGCTCATAATTCATTTCAAAATTTGAACATTTGCTTCTGACCACAGATTTTGTTGTCTAAAACTTCCAAGGTATACTATGCAGGATTTCAAAAAAAAAAATACAACAATACTATCATCACATACTGTACAACCAACTAAGTGTGCAGCAATGTATTTTTCTGCAGACACCCTGCCCTCTGCCTGTATTTTCTTATTTCCTTCTTATTTTGCTGTGTTCGGGATGTTTGTTACACAACCTTTGTGCAGGTATGCAGCCTCCAGCCAAAAACAGCATGCAGGTGAGGTCAGGACTTTATAAAATGGTAGCAATCAGGTAGTAGCAGCATGCATCCAAGAGGAAGCTACAAAAATTATGGGCACAGCACCAAAAAAACGCAAATATAGCAAGGCGAAATGCAAAGCAGACAAAGCCTGATCCGAAATGAGTCAATCTGGAGTTGCCTGTCGTTTTCACTTTTTCTGATGACCACTGAAGGAGAGGATGAGGAGTGATGCAGAGCTTTTTGTCAGACAGGTGGACAGGTGGTTAGCTTAGTTAGCTTGCTAAGGTATTGGCTTTTCTATTAGAACAAATGTAACATTCCTACAATAGCACAATAGCTTGCAGTTTACGTACACGCACCGTAGGGCCAAATAAGAATTTTGTGTTTACAGACAGAAACCCACAATTCCTGCATAGCATACTTTTGAAGAGACAGTCCACCCTAAAATCAAATATACATATTGTTCCTCTTACCTGTAGTGACAGATTTCCTTATTGTATCATATCGTATCGTATCGCCTCGTATTGTATCGTATATATCGTATATCGTATTGTTTTGATGCAAGTTGCCGAGTGTTGAAAATATTGGCCGTAGAGATGTCTGCCTTCATCTGAATGTAATGGAACTAGATGGCACTTAGCCTGTGGTGCTCAAAGTGCCAAAAAGATACATTTGGAAAACTCTCCCCATGGACGAGAGGCTTGTGCTTGTGACTTGCAACAAAGACGGTGGATAAACCAAGACTGTCCACTGCGAGTCAGTCAGTTTCCTGTATCAGTGTCACATGGGGTTCGCGACCACCACGCCCCTTTAGGAGACTAACAGCAGGTCCTGAGTCCATTGACTTCAGTGGGAGAAATGAACGTGATTACAGTTTATGGCTGATTCTTTCGCCCCATAGTCACGGAAGCAAATATTGGACCCATTCATCACAAGCCACACATCTTCAGAACATTCCGACACCAAAATGGCAAATTTCAGACGGACAAATCGGGAGAAAATTTACTTTGTTCAAGACCTGTCTCTGTCTCAACAGCACACTCTTGCGAGATCTGGCAACTGATATCTCCTCTCTGGTGCTGAAATCAGTGCAGTTTCACCAAAGATACTGGATTAAAAAAATATTTTTTCCAGCAGATATCTTAGTTACAACATGATTGAGCTAGCAAAGCAGTTTTGTGTTGCTATGTGTGGTATTTATTCAGTTTTGGGAAATCACGATGTCTAGAAAGCATCAGTGGCTGCAGCTGACAGGGACAGCTAACAGCAGCAGCAAAGCTAACATCAGGACGTCATCTGTTAAAAGCCTCCCGTTGTTGGATACAACATGAAACTACTCCAGTTAGCTCAATAATGTTGTAACTAAGACATCCGCTGTAAAAAAAAATTTTTTTCACGGACCGTTTATTTATTTAGCTTACGGCCAGTAAGGGTACACACATGTTGACAGAAGCGAGGTTGGGGATACTCGTCTTTGATCTGTGCAGTGATACTGTTGGAGGGTGTCATTCATCAGAAAGACAATCGTCCCTACCGGAAAACTGCTCCCAAAAAAGTCTGGTGCTGTTGAGTTTTTCAAACATATTTTTTATCCAGATTGATAAATAGCACTACAGGTAAGAGGAAAACTAGGTTTTGGGGTGAACTGCCCCTTTGAAAATAACTTATTTGAAGCAACATATTGTAGTCAGAAGCAAAAACATACATACCTTACATAACATGTACTATTCCCTATGATATAATGCTCCCAATCCACTGGTAAAATCAATGACCAAACCCTTTCATATACACCGGTCCAAGGGCCATACAGTCATGAGTATCATAGAGGCTTACCCTGTCAAAGCATTAATGTGCTCAGCAAATTAAAGGTGGTATTTCTAGATGTAGATTTTGATATTCTTTGTGGAGCCTTTAGCTTGGGGAAATCACCTAATCATAAGCAGTCATCTTATGGGAAATGTGAATAACCCCAGTGAGTTTCATGGAAATCCAAGCATTAATCTGTAGACAGATTGTCATCAACCAATGTTTTGGCCATCAGGGAATTTTAACCAGAAAGCTTGTGTCCATGGGCACCTGTGCTTAATTTGACGGCAGTCTGCTCAATACTGCTGTTCTGCTCTGAAGAAACCGACTTGGCACTGAGGTATCATCACACAAAGAAAGGATGTTAGATCAGTGAAACACACCAAATTAGGGAAGTCTGTTCCACATGAAGTCCATCCAGTAAAATCAGCTAATTATTAAAGTTCATGTTGCCATGTCGGACTGATTTGGAGAAGACTGTTTCTTAATAGACCAGCTCTGCCCAAGTGATCAACACCTCAAGGAAGATCATCTCTGCACCTCTCAGAAACACACACACACACACAAACACAGAGTGACTCAGCTAACAGTCAAAGTTGCGTCTCTCCTCCCCTGCAGAGACAGCCCCGGATCCTGCATACAATTAGAGCAGAAATAATTTAGTGAGACTGTAGTGTCTGTGCTTCTTTCATGTTTTATATTCTATGAACAATATGATTTGGAACCAGCATATACGTGACCCGAAAGCAGTCTTGTATTGTAATTGGCCTTTTTCTTGTCTGTGAATGTCAGGGGGATTGGCTACATGCAAAACATGCGGGCCTTTAAGACTGTATGTCCTCTTCGAAATGAACTGCATCTGGACATCACTACTGCTGCCAAGGTAACAATGAAATATTTGTTTTACTGTAGGTTCACTTAACGGTGTCCCATCGAGTTTTTAAACTGAGGGGTCGTTGTACTGCAAACAAATGTCTTGATTAGCAGGTCAGTGCATATCTTTATATTCCATGAAAGCGGCACAAAGAAGAGGCATATGCACTAAGAACAGAGCTATCAGAGTGCAGTACCATACTCCCCAGGACACCTTTAATTAACTCATTTATTCTCTTTAATCTGTCTTATTATTTCAACAGAAAGGAACTGCGGAGTGGTATGAGAACTTAATTGCACAATATAAACCAGAGGAAGGGGTAAGTTATTACTTATTGAAGGAATACCTCACCCCTAAAATTACCATTTGTATATTAGTTACTCAAAGGGGGCCGTGTTTAACAACAGAAAAACTATATCAGAACATTCAGGAAGTGACAGGAAGTGGGTGTGTAACAGCAGAACTCCTGGCCAGTGACGGAAGGAGTGGGAGGTTTAATTGAATGCATGAGCAGATTTAAAATTTGCTTGCCTGGTGCACAACTCGTCTATGTGGGAGACTGTTTATGCGGAAGTGTAGTAAGTAGTAAGGTTTTAACAAAACTGCATGTGTTTGGGAAGCACTGAGCATATCCATCCATCCATCCATCCATCCATCCATCCATCCATTTTCATCCGCTTATCCGGGGCCGGGTCGTGAGGGCAGCAGGCCAAGCAAAGCACCCCAGACATCCCTCTGGGACCCCAAGGTGTTCCCAGGCCAGATGAGATACAGTATGTAATCCCTCCAGCATGTTCTGGGTCTGCCCGAACCACCTCAACTGACCCCTTTCGACGCAAAGAAGCAGCAGCTCTACTCCGAGCTCCCTCCAGATGTCTGAGCTCCTCACCCTATCTCTAAGGCTGAGCCCAACCACCCCACAGAGGAAACTCATTTCCACCGCTTGTATCTCATTTCTTCGGTCACTACCTGGAGTTCATGACCATAGGTGAGGGTTGGGACATACGTGGACCAGTAAATTGAAAGCTTTGCTTTCCGGCTCAGCTCCCTCTTCAGAACGATGGACCGGCATAGTGCCCGCATCACTGCAGAAGCCGCACAGACCTGCCGATCCATCTCACGCCCCATTCTACCCTCACTCGTGAACAAGACCCCAAGATACTTGAACTCCCTATGCTTGAGGCAGTAACTCTCCCCCAACCCGAAGAGGGCAATCCACCATTTTCCGACAGTACTGAGCATATGACAGAGGTAAATGAGACTTGTAATATACTGCATGAGCTGTGAGAGAGTTTGTAAACAGATGTTTTGATAGAATTTTGCTGTCGTTATTTGCGGACCCCAATGACTTCAATGCATTCATTTGTTCATTTCTTTATCCACTGTGGAGGAATGCAAGAAACCCAAAGTTTTCTTTATTGATTCGATGTACCATGGGGTGAGTAATTGATATACAAATAATCATTTTGGGGTGGAGTTTTACTGTAATATGGAGCGATTGAAATCATGCATTTTATAATTTTACTTACTGTGGCTTGAGAGTTGATATTTAGGATGTTCATGTATTAACAACATAGACTCTGGAGGAGCAGCTGAAGAAGCTGGTTCAGGTGGTTGATGCTGCGTGTGCAGACGTACAGAGAGCCCAGAACATCTACAACAAACTCTTCTACAGGTAAATATCAACAGAGTTCATCTCAAGAAAAACAATGTAGAAATGTCGAAACATTGATTTGGATTTGTTACTGCTGGACAGAAGCTGTTTCATCCTTTGTTTCTTCTCACAGTGCGGTAAAAGTAGATTTCTTCAGCATATCATACAGACAGTTGGAGAAACAGGTAAGTCGTTGAAAGTGACATGAAAGTCCTTGTAAACAAGTCCTCCAAAGCCTGTCTGAGTCTTGCTGCCAGCTTTGACACAAGCACTTGAACACAAGCACGTTCTTTCATCCCCCAGGTAGCCGATGATGTAAATGTAGCGATGGAGCGGGTTTGTGGGACTCTGGAGCAGGAGAGCTCCAGACTGACTCAGACAATGGGAGAGACCATCTTTGAGCTCTTCATGTCCTTGAAGATCCTCAAAGGCTTTCGGGAGTTTCTTCCTCTCAAGTTGGTTCTCAATTCGACTCTCATGACAATTCAAACAGCAGCGTAAAAGGCTCTGACTCGTGGTTATTTGTTTGAAATGACAGCGAGGAAAGTACAACTTTTTCTTCTGCTTTGAATTTATTAAAAACAGGACTTGTGTTCTTCTCTAACAGGGATGCTAAAATGTTGGCCCTGACGGGCTTTCATAACTGGTTCAAGTCCTCGATTCATAAGTGGCTGCAGATCGTTCATGACAGATCCTGTGACAGAATTCGTAAAGCAGTGGAAACAGACAAGGTGAGAGGCTACTATAATGAAGATGTAAGCAGATACACTCCTCGGATGGTCCCATTGTTGGGATGTTGGGAGGACGTTCCGTGACTTTGGTGTGTTCAAGAGCTTTTAAGTCGTAATGTGAAAACAACATGGACACTCCAAGATGTGCAGCATTTTATCCCTAAGAACGTTTAAACAAAACAAAAAAGTTAGTAGCTTTATATTACAAAATAATTTTGTCCAACACTTGTTGCTGCGTAAGAACATCCCCTAAAACCACTAAAATATTGCTCTAGCTGACTTTTTATCAGGGTTAATGCTTATAAATAACTTCTCTAACTAATCTAAGTCACTTTACGAGGTCAGCAACTAATGGTTACAATCTAATACCATATTATAAATTACATGTGAACAAAAATTGATATGCAATACATGAATTATTAAAAGGTTTCTTACCATTAACATTAACATTTACTTTCGTCCACCATGTTTCTGTGTACAGGACTCTAAAGTGAGCAGGTCATGTACCAAAATTTTTGCCATCTTTCCAAGTTGTTGTTCTGTCTTGAGGCAGTGTTCATATGAATTTTCAGTTTTATTCACCGACTATAAACTATGCATGTTATATTTTGTATTTTAATGTGCTTTGTGAGCAGCTCGAGCCGGTGCAGCAGGTCAAACACAGCTCCTCAGCTGTAGAGGTGACAACATGCTTCAGCCAGGTACGCGAGATCTGGCTCCAGCTGGCCTGGCCAGACTCTGCGGGGGCCTTCATCTTTGTCACTCGTTTGACAGACGTGAGTGCTGCTTCCAGTGTTGCCACACTCATGTACGCGCAACCAGCACATATATAAACAGACTCACTTACTTACACACAAAAGACTTTATTGGTGATGGAGTCAGAATCAAAAAGAAAACTATGACTGGTATTTTACTCTTCACAGAATTTCTGTAGTGAAGCTGTGTGCTACTCAGAGATGATAACACGCAAGATTGAGAGAAACCAGCTGGGCCGAGACCACAAGAGCTTCACAGTGCAGGTAACGCCTGTAGCAAGGCAGAACAGGGGGAGGGCATGCAATGACGTGGGAAGTAAATGTCAGCAAGTGTTCTTCCTGGCAACACAAAGGGCTCAACAGCAGATCAGATAAAAAAAAAAAAAAAAATCGCAGTTGCCTCTTGTCGTCGTAAATCATTTACACTGGCATCCCGTCCCTCCACTTCTCTGTAGCCCTGCTTCTTTTCCTTCTTTGTTTCTCCACCTCCACCCTCTGTTTCTCCTCTTTTGCTCCTCCTCGCTTTCTGCTAGCTCTGCATCGCCCTGAACAACACAGAGCATGTGCGAGTTTTCCTGGGTCACCTGCCTCGTGACCTGGACTGGCAAGGTGTGGAGCGGGCCATGGAGGAGTCCTGTGGGGTGGAGGGGAAGGAGCAGGTTTGCAAGGCTCTCAATGGGCAGCTGTTCAACGTGGACCTGGACCTGCAGAGAGAAGCCAAACGTCTCATCACGCTGCTCACTGACAAGGTGCGGAGCTGAAAGCATGAATACCTGGAAATCAGTATGAGACATGGTGCACATATAGAGCAATTGGTTACTGCAAGTGAAAACTTTAACCCCATTTCCACCAAACACTTTCGGTATGGTACCTTGGAACCAATAGTAACCCTTCAGACATGATACCTAGACCCTAGGTCCATGTAGCGTTTCCACCGCAGAGAGTACCTTTCAATGTTGGCGCAGTTATTGTCACTCACTGCTCCATCCAGCCCTCACTGTATTCCCTCATTACCGGTGACACAGATGCAAGTCTGCACCTCAAAGTTGCACACCAACATTTTCAAAACAAATAGAACAGGCTGCAGTGAGAGTCTCTCTCGATGAGATATTTAAAAATAGCATGTTTGTGCATTTATCCCTTCTCAGGGAAGAGCAGCCGGCCGGAGCCCACAGGATCAGTGCTCCACTATGCTTTTTTTTTTTTTTCTCAGAGCAAAGATTAGAATATATGCAGTTCACATAATCTGTCAAAATGATCTTAAACACTTGGAGATCCACTCATTACTAAAAGTTTGTGTCATCCAAGAGAAACAATTAAAAACTGAAGTAATGGTCAAAGTTGTCACATTGAAATTTAAGGTGTGTTGATTGATTCACATCCTCACCTCATGCATTGAGTAACATTACAAGTAAACGTTCCAACTTAAAAGTCGCTGGCAGTCGGCCCAGTGAAAGATATTTTTCTCAGACTACAGCTGTTGTGAAAAGCAGTAAAACATCCTTTATTTTTATAGTTATAGTTTACTAATGTATGTAAGACTTGCCACAGTATGAACAGTGGTGTTCACAGCTCCACCTTTTAGTACCAGATCTGTGTGCTAGGTACCCCAACAGAGGGGAGACCAAAAATGGTAACGGTATGGAACGGTTCCATTGGTACCATCCACAACTTTTCACAGTGGAAACGGAAACAAAACATACTGAACTTAACTGTACCATACTGCTCTGTGGACATAGAGCTTTTGTAACTCCATTTGTGAGGTGAGGTTTGCAAGCAGTGACTTAATGATATATGTTCAAAAATACTGCACATATTGGCAAAAATTCATGTTCATCACTTAACGCAGTACTGTTTTGTGTTTAGTTTTTCGAGAATTGACTTATTTTTTTTTTTATAAAGTTTGCATCCAATAATAATGGGAGTCAAGCCTCTTCCTATGATCTATTACTACTGTTCAAAGGACATACGATGTGCTTGGGTGTTATGCATTGAAATCATACGCTGCACAATTTTGTATTATGTAAACCTTTTGCAAAATTGTGTGACTTTCTGTATCTTCATATGCATAATGCACAGAATTGTGTCTATACTGTATGCACCTGCATGCCCATGTATGAGAGAATATTTCTATGCAGATGCTGCCGGAGCTGCGAAGGTACATCCAGCACATCAGCCTCTCTCCAGACTCAATCAACAACGATGATGTAAGACCCAGTAGTGGCTCTCTACAGAATTCATTCCTGTATCAGTGGTGTATGCAGCCCGGGTATATGTAATGTATGTTAATGTGACATTTTTTTCCAGGCTGTGTCTCCTCTTATGAAGTACTTACAAGACACTATGGTCATCCTCACTGAAAACCTTGTGAAGGAGACTCTGACTAGGTAATTACTTTCTCCCTCCCTCTCCTCGCTACAAATATGACTTCATTTATTTTCTGTTTGACAGGGACAATGCAAATTAATTTTAATAACTATTCTGATAATTGTGCCACATTCTGCCTAATTGCTCATCTCCATCTGGCGTGCCTGTGCAGCTGATGATAAAAGGAATCACTGAGTATGTAATTATGAAACACAAACAAGACAGAATTCACCACATAAACTCATAACACATGTAGCACATAATAAAAGAATAGTTAAAGGAGGCACTTGTACAGCAAAGCATTAAAGCCACTACAGCACCTCCCAGTGGTAGTTATTTATTTTTTGACATTAGGCCTGAATCATGATTTGACTAGCCAGCTTGAAATGTGTGTCACTGTAGCACAGGACTCTTGACCAGTCTGTTACCAACTGTTTGCATACGTATAACATTGCATCATCAGCATAGGTGTAATTAATGGTAGGGACAGTGGGGTTGTCTGTATCACTTTCCTGATTGCCTAAACTTGTCCTCACCACTAATTTGACATTAATTGCATATGCATTTGAATTAAATGTGATTTCATATAGCTCTACAAACGCCCTCATATTCCCACTAGATAAGAAATAGTTTTCAGTGAATTGTTCTTGAGGCATGTTTTAGCATTTTCTGACAGGTCATGGAAACTGTAGCTACAGTTATTTTGACCTGTGAAAAGTTTGGACTGCAGTGTAGTGTCTTTCCCCTGATTAGTAGCTCTGTGGTCTTTATGTGTTCTTCCAACTGAAAGCTGAGGGAAGTGGCCAGGAGCTGTACTATATCTACCGATGAATTTACATTTGTTTGGACAATTAGCCATACAAGGGTGAGATTTATGCCTGATCAGATGTGTTGAGCTGGTGGTGTGTCTTCCTCAAGCTCGGCCTGGGATTTTGAGGGTTCTGCGCAGTATCTTAGCTGTTCCTCAGATGTTGTACCTGGAATCTGCTGGAGCCACTCTCCCAGTTTGTGGATCACAGCCCCCAGTGCTCCGATTACCACTGGCACCACTGTTGCCTTTACTCCCTACATCTTTTCTAGCTCTTCCTTCAGCCCTTGTTTTTTTTTTCGAGCTTCTCATTTTCCTTCTTGCTGATGTTGCTGTCACTTTGGATGGCTACATTTTTCACCGCTGCCTTCTTCTGTTGCTGTAGCAGCTGGTTAGCTCAGTGGTTAAGACTTGACGTACTGACTTTGGCGTAGAAGATCAGGGATTCAATTCCCGGTCAGGGCAAGGCAACACATATCCAGTCTGGATTCTTAGGCAAGGTTCTTAATGCTGCTAGCCTACCTCAGGATGAGTGAATGCAAACACAAGAGTCATACAGGCTCAACCAGGTCAACAAGGTCCGCGTCAGGTTTTAAGGAGCCAGGGCAACCTAATGAGAAATGGGCTACTGGAACAAGACATAGATGGACTAGAGCAGAGAACATATATATATATATACAGTACAGGCCAAAAGTTTGGACACACCTTCTAATTCAATGCGTTTTCTTTATTTTCATGACTATTTACATTGTAGATTCTCACTGAAGGCATCAAAACTATGAATGAACACANAACATGTTTTCAGTTATTTCACCTTTTTTTGTTAAGTACATAACTCCACATGTGTTCATTCATAGTTTTGATGCCTTCAGTGAGAATCTACAATGTAAATAGTCATGAAAATAAAGAAAACGCATTGAATTAGAAGGTGTGTCCAAACTTTTGGCCTGTACTGTATATATATATTTAATTATTTTGGGCCTTTTTTCTTGACTTAATTCTCGAAATCTCAGGGAACAAACATATGTAGAATATGTTTTGAATGTGCAGAGAGTTTTGAACATGAGCAGGAATGTTGCTGAAACACATGAGCTATTTAAGACACAAAGGAGAAGGGAAGACTAAATCAATCCTACACATGTGGTGACTCAGCAAGAATAACATTAAATTAGAAAAATTGAGAATAAATGTTTGAAAGCAATACAGAATGCCTGAGAGCCTCACTGCATGATATTCCATTATATTTGTAGATTTTGAATTTTGACCTGCCACCTGAAAATTATGTTTTCCTTCACACAAACCTTCGCTTTTGGTCATCAGCATACATTTGACTTGTAGACCAGGGTGGAAAACACTGGATTGCTCTCTCTAGGTTGGGAGTGAGTTATAGCTCCGAGCGAAGGGGATCAAGTATCTCAGGGTTAGGTTCACAAATTAGGGTAAAATGAAGTGTGAGATGGACAGGCAGTTTGGTGCTGCATCAGCAGTGATACAGGTCTTGTGCCAGATCGTCAGGGTAAGGAGGAAGCTGAGCTGGAAGGTGAAGCTTTCTAGTTCATCTACGTTCTGACTCTCACCTATGGTCATGAGCTTTGGGTAGTGTGCTCAGATAGGGTGAGGAGTTCAGACATCTGGAGGAAGCTCGGAGTAAAGCCGCTGTTCCTTCGCATCAAAACGGGCCAGTTGGTTCGGGCATCTGATCAGTTTTCCAGGCATGTCCAAGTGGTAGGAGGCCCTGGGTTAGTCCCAAAACAAAATGGAGGGATTATATATCTCATCTGGCCTGGGAAGTCCTTGGGATCCCCCAGGAGGACCTGGAAACAGTTGCTGGGGAGCTGGACGTCTGAAATACTTTGTTCAGTCCGCTGCCCCCATGACCTGGCCCTTGTTAAGCACATGAAATGGATGGATGGATGGACTGGGAAAATGTTGGCACACTTTAAAATTGATAGATATCAATAGAGGTATCCTTACATCAAGTTACATAATCATACAACCTGTTTCCTCTTCTCTAAATAAGATGTAATATGTTTGATAGTACTAGGTGCAAAGTGTGAGAGCTCAGCAAATAAGATGCTGCGAGTACTGTGTAAGCTTTGTCACAGTAAAAATACCCCTCAGACATGTTTTGCATTACAACCTATCATTATCGAGCTGATCTCTGTGAAAACGTACAGGAGGCTAAGTTAGGGTACAGGGGTGTTATCGGAAGAGCTGGTAAACAAATAAGTGTGGGTGTCTCATTGTGTCTGCTGCCTCGTAGGGTTCTCCAAAGCATGTGGGAGCTGCTCCTGCGGATGATCCTGGACGCTGTCGCAGAAAACAGAGGTGTTCAGGTGGAGTTCTACAACCGCTTCCAGTACACAGTGGAGGTCAGTGATTGCATTTTATCTCACAATTCTTTTTTTATGGGTATTTCCAGCCTGGCATAGTTTGACTAAGAGGAGAATTCTGCTTAAAAAGATGTGTCAACTTTGTACAGATAATCATGACTACTGTTACCATCATCCTTTAATTAGCTCTCTGTGCTTGCTGTCGTGCAGTCATCAGCATACATTAGATATTTATGAAGTCGCAAGGTAGTAGTTCAGTGCCAAAGTGAGTTCCCTTATGAATGACAATTTGGGAGCTATTGTATATTCTGATGCCAAATTAACCAGCTGGCATTGGACGTGACAGATTTGCATGAAAAGTCATGGCGTGCTACTCATGAGGGCTGAGTTTGGAGTTTGGCAGACAGATATCGTGTTTGTCTGCCAGAGGTTTCATGCTGTTTGTGTGAACAACATGTCTTTCTACTGTGATTAGACTTCCATTTATTAAACTTAGAGGGATAACTCTGATGAATCCCAGCTCGCAAGTTCTAAATATATATATTTGTTTACTTGAATGCTTTAGACCCTGTTGCAGTTCCTGCATGCCAAGGGAGAGGGTCTTTCCCTGGAAGACATGAAGAGTGGAGACTATAAGGTAAGCTGTTTGCTTGCTTAAGGTGTTATTTGTCTTTGTCTATGACTTCTCTGACTTAATATTGAACGATTGCCATAGACCCAAAGTCCTATTTAGCACGAAAAATGCTGCCATTAACACAATTGACAATACCATTCCTAGCTGTATAACATAATAATAAAAAAGCCTCCGTGACGTCACCCACTGGCTCATGGTCTCCCATTTAAAGCCTCAAGCTTGGCATTTTGGCTGTCACTATTTTGGATTTTTGGAGCCGGAAGTGACCATGTTTAGACAAGAGGATGAAGATAACCCTAATGCTAGCTGCTAACTTGGTTAGCACAGTGCATTTACGGCTGTATGGTCAGTTATGTTAATGGTAATGCTAATTTTTGTTCATGAAAAACAGGCTTAATCCAATAAAACAAAATGTATTTACCAGAAAAACTGAATATCCAACTTCTTTGGGTCTTTAAGTAGAAACAAGCACTGAACAAGACTTTTTAGACGACCAAAACTATTAACTTTCATGAACTGAAAACAAACTAAAATAGTAATAGCTATGACAACACCTATGCTCTGTGAATCAGGGCTTACACCATGGTTACGTTACCTAAACCAACATTGTAACCCTGTTAACACAAAGAAAACAAGTAACAGCGACCAAACCCATTTTTTGTACCACGCTGTAAACGTGTATTTCTGCTGTAAAGCTGGTTATTTTAATATGGGTGTTTACAGGGATTGACTTGCTTTTGGAGCCAGCCTCAAGTGGCCGTTCTAGGAACTGCAGTTTTTTGCACCATGTTGGCCTTATTTTTCAGCCCTGGAGGTTGCCGCTTGTTTCTGACCCTTCCACAGTAACTTGTGAAAATTTCCTAAATTTCTTTGTCAACAAGATAGTTGTTATTGGAAGGCAAATCTCACCGTTATCTCTGCTACCTCTTGATCATCCTATAGCCCTGTCTCTTTTTAGTCAGTTAAAAACCTGTGTCTCTTTCCTCTGTGCGGAAAGTAATTTGTCATCTGAAGCCTACAGCCTGCCCTTTTGACCACATCTCTTCACTCCTACTAAAAGATTGATATTGTGGGTCCCAGTATCCTTTCTATTTTGAGTTGTTATCTTTCCTCAGGTTGTTTTACTTGTGTGTTAAACACGCACTGGTTTAAACCCTCCCTAAATTAACAACTGTGACCGTAATGATTTTCTCTAAATTCCAAGCTTCAATTTTGATCCAAAATACAGGGCATTGAAAAAGTTACTCTGCCAGAGAGAGGTGGTAATATTGAAGAAATGCTTAGCAGAAGAGAAGTATACTGGATATTTAATCAGCAAACTATATCTCCCAAACGATTAAATGATGAGATACCATGACATGTCATGCTATAATGGATTTGGGGCTCTTAAAAGACCAATTTATAATGCACGGCGTAAGAGTATTGAACATTTTGAATGATTTATGAGAGCGGCAAGGCCGATGTGTTCATTCATAAGATCAACATTTTGTGTAAATAATCTTGTAAATGTTTATTGTGTAAGGAGAATTAGATGTCTAGGTTTTTCCTATGTTCTTCTTGTCCCTTGTTTCCTTTGTTGGGTATGTGACATATGGTGCACAGGCTGTTGTCAATTACTGAGAAACATGGCTGATTAATTCCCCCACACCTGTGCACACCTGCGAAATGGGTGGAACAGTCTCTATTTAAGCTCAGTAATGTAATGTAAGTAATGGTGTTGAACACTCTTGATGAAGGTCCAGGAGGACCAAAATGGAGAAGCTGAGCAAAGAGCAGTGTGCAGGATTTTCTGTTCAAAGATCCAAAATGCAGGAAACAGATATTTACCAGCAACTCCATCTCTTTTAAACAAGAATTTGCTATTCAGAGCCTTTTGATCTGGTTTTAGGGAGCAACATAGCACTGAAACAGCTCTTTTAGGAGTTCACAATCATTTGCTAGTAGTAGCAGACAAGGGGACTATTCTATTTGAATACTTTAAATCATAGTGCGGCATTTAAAACAGTCTATCATGAATTGCTTATTGCCAGACTACAGCCCTGAAATGGTTTAAGTCACATCTGGATAACAAAAGTCTCTGTGTTTGTGTGGGGAATGCTTCTTCCTCCTCTGCCCCTTCTTACCTGCGGAGTCCCTCAGGGCTCTGATCTTGTGCCTCTTTTCTTCTCTCTCTATATGCTCTCACTTGGTTCCCTTATTAGGAAGCACAGCATCTCCTTCCTTTGTGTTGTGGACAATATCCAGCTATTCTTCCAGCTAAATAGCCACAACCCTTGGCCATGCATTGCAGCCTCTATTTGACTGTCTGTAGGACATTACAGACTGGATGCCTCACAACATCTTGATACTAAGCAGACTAAAAATTGAGGTGGTTCTCTTTGACCCCCCTAATCCACCAGCTTTCTGTGTGAAAGTCTCTGCTCACTGTCATCCTTTGTGAAACCAAAACCTTGGGACAATTTTTGACTCTGAAAATCAGATCAATTCTGTGGTGAGAGGCAGCATTTTCCAACTGTGAGCCTTAGCGAAGTAAAACTCTTTTTGTCACTTCAACATTGTGAAAAATAATCCATGCTTTTATTACTGCTCGCCTTGACTGTTTTAACTACTAGTACGTGGGAGTCAGTCAGTCCTCTCTTTCACATCTGCAGTTTGTGCAGAACAGTGAGGCAACTTTCTTAACTGGTTCCCGTATACATGAGCATGTTTCATCCATACTCCTTGTCAGTTTTAAAATTCAAGACTTTACTAGTTGTCTAATTAGCACTTAATGAATGAGCTCTCTTTTACCTGTCTGACCTAACCCCACCTAGGTCACTCAGGTGTTCTAACCTGTCATTTTTGGTCTTCCCTTGGGCTCGGCAGAAGCTTGGGGGTAATCTTTTTAGTCACAGGCCACAGTCTGGAAACAAACTGCTCCACCACATCAGATCTGCCCGTTCTACTGAGTCATTCAAAGCAAAGCTCAAGGCCCACCTATTTTCTTTGGCTTCTGAATGTACTAATAATTGGTCTTTTGTTAGTTTTTGCATTACTCATCACTTTTATCTTGGTCTCTGCCTGGGTATAAGCATTATTTTGTTGTCTGCTCTGTTGACCTGTTTTTATTCTCTCTAATTTTGCACAGCACTTTGGTCAACTTGCGTTGTGTTAAATGCAAATATATAGAAATATATTTGACCTGACTTGACTCCCTTTCTGACGGTGCTGCTTTAGGTCCTGGATGAGGAGCTGAGGCTGAATAAATGTTCCTCCTTTGAGCTGATTGAACAGTACTATCTGGAGAAGATTTCCCACCAGGTGTGTTTCAACTTACCAGGCTAACACTTTCATTTTAGCCCTAAGGTGCACAGAGACGTATTGATTGGACACAACACACAACACTCTGTCTTGTGTTGTTTTTCCTCTGATTGAAAATCTCCTGGACTGTTGGAAAAACAAGATGCTGTCAGACAACGCAGCACTTAGACTGAAACATGCTTTGAATAATTCCTTCAACTTATTTCTGCTTTTGAAACTGAAAATGTGTTGTGCTTTTACATGTTATTATAGCATGTTTTCAGTGGTATGCTGATTATTATAATCTGTCTGTAATGTTTCAGAAAACACTCAAACACACCCGTTATGGTCGGATCAGTGTAAAGTGCTACTATGACGCTCCGGAGCAGAGACTGACGGTGGAGATTCTGCACGCTGCAGATATCCTGGCGCTGGATGCTAATGGTAAAAGGGTCAAAATATAATATAGCACATGTCGCTATTTTAAAGTTGAGTTTTCACTAATTTTTTCTGGACGTCTGCAGGTCTGAGTGACCCATTTGTCATAGTGGAAATCTGTCCTCACCACCTCTTCCCTATGGCCAAGAGTCAACGCACACAAGTGAAACTGAAGACCCTGCACCCAGTTTTCGATGAGCTCTTTTACTTGTGAGTACTGTTTTCCTCTCTCCCTCCTTCTATTTGTGCATACCCTGATTACAGCCTGATTTGTTTTGCATCTTGTGTCTTCCAGCCACGTCAGTCCGGAACAGTACAGACACAGGTTTGCCTGTTTGACCTTCACTGTGATGGACTAAGACTGGCTTTCCACCAACGACTTTGCCGGTGAAGCCGTGGCTCCTCTCAGCGACTTCTGCTGGCCGGGGAGACCGAACGCCTCAGCTGCCGGCAAAAGCGTCCAGCCTGTCATTCTCCACCTGTCTCGCAGTAAACCCAGTGGTACATATAGCCCCAGGCTGTATCAAGCTCTTTGTTTTACACAAACATAATATTGGCTCCTTGGGAGACCAGAGGGGTGGAGGTCTGGGTTTCCAATTACTTCTCCAATACAACATGAAAAGCCATTCAATCTGGAGATATTTGTGTCAGGTGTCGGATCTGCTCTCATCTGTTTGCTCTCCCCCTCCAGAAAAGCCAATCATGAGGATGCTGGACGCTCGCATCGGAGACAGGGAGGCTCAGGAGTTTGTCCGCAGGCTGAAGGAGATTGAGAAGTCAATGGAGGAGGAGTAAAAGCTGTCAGCGCTGCCTGTGTTGGTGTTTTCTGACCACGTCTTGCGACATGTGCTTTTGTACCGGTACGATGTTTACAATATTTGAATTTTTATTTCCAATGTTATTGTTTGTTCAGTAATTATACCAAAATGAAAAGATAAAAAAAGAAAGCAGTGAAGCATATCACTGTTTTCTAACTGGGAGATGAACATCCTGTCACTGTGCAACCTTATGCTGTCTCACTTAAACTATATTTTAGAATTGAATGGATAGTTAATCCTAAATGTTACTAGTCTATATTTTTTGTAATTAGGTAATTGTTATATTTGTTGTATGATCTTTGATATGATAGATTCAGAATTATTTTGTGGAAGTAGCTTATGTATCCAATAGTATTCAGTCAAAGTCTAAATCTATACCTCACATTAGTTGCAGGGGAGTTTAACAGGTATTGAGACTTTTCACACTGTCTGTGGATATTGTGGAGATAAACTGCATGAAAGCCTATTTAGGATGTGAAAGCTTGAACCCACACTGATTTTCCTGATTACACAGTGGGGTACTAACAAACAGGTATGAATAAAAATACCTGTCATGAAGGAAATCATGAAGACACACATAGCTTTGGGGTATTGCCCTTTCTGAGACTGGGTGTTTTAAGGTCAGTCCGACAGCTCAGCAGCAGGGAGGCCTAACACTCCCCTGAGGCACACGCTACAGTTCGGGTTCATTCGACTTTTCAGATTGCTCTTCGCAACGCTCATGATGGGTCATTGAAGAGGCCAAAAATCTTGTAGAGGGAGGACAAATTCGTTTTATTCACTTCCTTCCTGTAGTCTGATGTCAGTGAGCTGACGTTTTGCCGGGAACAGCACACTGATTTAAAGTTGTACAAAGTCAGCACATTGACAGAAACAAATTAATCTGTCACATGTTGAAGAGGAAAATGTGTTGAACAATGAACAGGTTCATTTAGAGAACTGATATCCCAATGAGGAAATGACTGATCTTTGTACTGCTTCAATCTGTGTTGTCAATTTAACAGTTAATGAGCTACCAATCCGTATGTTAGCAACTGAAACTCAATCATACAGCACTGAGGAGCCTCCATGTAATAATAAGCATGTTTGGGTGTCATCATGAAACCACCAATACTTTTCTGATGTCTGATTCATAAATAGGAAGCTACTGCCAGCTGCCACGTAACTTAGCTTAGCACAAAAACTGGAAACAGGAGAAACAGCTAGCCTGTACAGTGGTCACAAAATGTGCCTACTAGCACCTGTAATGTTCATTAATTAACATTGTTTTTATAATAAGAACTGATGTGTTTCCGTTAACTTAAAATGAGCTGTTTATATCTACATATTGAGCGGGTCCTCTTCCACGGAGTCCACCATGTTGTTTCTACAGCGGCCCAGAATGGACAAACCACACACTGGCTCTAGATAGGGCCATTTGCATTTTTAAATCTGCCACCATATTCTCCTACACACTTGGCACACAGGAAAGGTTTCTGAGGCGCTAGATGCCACTAAATTCTATACACTGGACCTTTAAAGTTTATGTTATTGGAATTAAAAATTCAAATAAATAAAAGAACATTTTATTTTTTTATTCATTTATGGAGTTCAAGTTGTTGAAAAATTTATGACATATGAATCTCTTTTGCACCTCCTCTTCAGGGAGAAAAAAATATATTCAGAACAATTCATACTTTTATGGTTATGGGAATACACCAGGACACCCTGATGCCTGATAATTGAAATGGCGAAGAAGAAAAAAAACACCCTAACGTCCCTACAGATAACGCAGTGTGTGGCACAGTGCGTGGCCAGATGGTAGCTAATTGCAGCTAATGAGCTTGTATAATGTTCAGAAAGTTCTGGAAACAGCCATTAAACATGGCAAGCCTTTTGTTATCCTAACTTTAAATCGATACAGGCTCATCACAGGCCTTATGCAAGGACCAGAAATTGAGTTTGAGTCTCAGTGAGGTGCTCAATCTCTTGTGGTAAAAAGAAAGGAAAAGCATAATGAACCTGTTCTGTGGAATAATTATACCTGAGGGGTAAGAACAGAGCTCACTGCCTGCAGCAGCTCTCAGTGGTCTGACAGGCATAATTCAACACCAGGTCTCTCCAATCCTCCAGAGGTATGTGTCTGTGACTGAAAAGTTGGGATCTTAATAGTTTTGCAAAAAAAAAAAAAAATTATATATATATATATATATATAATATGGATCAGACTACAACCTGGGATCCAACTCTCATGTTATGGAAAATATGAAATTGATATGCAATTGAAACATCACAAAACAGCTCAAAAAAGCACAGATTCTGAAATCAGCTTAATAAGGGAGTAGCCTAGATTTCACTGTAGTAGCTGTGACCTAGCAAGCTTATATTACCGTAGCAAGTCTAAAGGCCCAGTTTCCTGGACAAGAATTAATGTTAATTAAATTTTGTTTTCATTTTTTAAATCCAGAATAGTTAGTCATGTCTTAAAAATTGGCTTTTTTAACTTCTTTAATACAAATGCTGCATTCCAGTTGCACCAGAGGCCCCAGGATACAATATTATCACGACACTTAAGTCATGATACATTGTGATTTTAAACACGTTGCAATATGCTGAGTATTGTGGTAAGATATATTGTGATATATTGCAATTAATTACCTTTTGTGAATGGCAAATTATGTCCCCAAAGAAAAACTTTGTCAATATAAACAGTTTTATTGAATAAGATAAAGTAGTTAGTCTGCTCATGGCACTGACTATGTCATTCTACCAGGCTACCCAAAGTTTAATTTGTATTTGTAATATTATTAATTTATATAATAAAATAATCAATACTTGGTATATTGTATTATGTAACAATACATTATTGCCATACAAAAATATCACGATACTGTGTTGTATCTATTCCGGTTAAAACTGGAGGTTGAATTTTCCAGTTAAAACATCCAACTTTGGATCTTGAAGTATTCAGGTGCACAATGCCAAACTCATGGTTCTTTGGTAAGTGTACACACAGCTGAACTCTCAGCAGTGTTGTGCAGTGCTTTTCCTTATGGTTTAACATTTTTGGTGTTATTTTTGAAGTTTTCTCAAATAACTATTTTATTTTATTTATTTACTTTATTTAACCTTTATTTTACCAGGCAGATTTGCTTGAGATCAAATGATCTCTTTTACGAGCAAGGCCTGGCCAAAATGGCAGCATTAAAGTACAAAACATAAAAAGACACGCATAAAGAAGAAAGCACAGACATGACTATTATGACTATAACTATTGTGCAGAGAAAACAACTTTCAGAGACTGTTTACCATAACCAGCCAGACCTAATAACATTGGCAATGTAATTTTACATCAATTTATGCAGAACAGGTTTCTCTATATGGTAGTTTGTATTACTGTAATTAAATTCAGGCAAATATAATTAACATAGCCTTTGATGGTTCACCATTTTCATTGTGCACTTCAATGGGTGCTGCCATGGTGTCATTTCAGATAAATACTTCGTCATAGATCAGGGTAGATGGATTTGCCCTAAGTTTATAAGAAGGACTTTGAGTGGCATTTCATTGTACTTCCTCCAGTAAGGGGGTCAGAGATTTTTGAGTTCCCACTTGGCTTGAACACAGCAAAAGTCTGACAAGACTGACAAGCTTAATTTTAGTCAGCTGTGTTAGACCTTTAATGAGAGTGCACCCTGCTCTCACTAATGAGGTTAATATCAATCATCATGTCACAAAAATGTACTTTTGAGTCCAAATTTTTCATGTGTCTCCACTACCTGACAATTATTCTGACCTTACAGAGCAGAGTTTTAATTTAAGACCCTTTAGTCCTGGAGGAACTTTAATCTTCCTTCAGGAAGTAAGTCCAGTTAATACAGGACTGAGTTAAATATAGGACTGCATTGAGTTCATCTGTAGTGTATTTAGGATATTAAATAGCGTTAAATCCTGTCCAGTAAACTGGCCCTTACTGTCACTAATGTAGCTTGAAGTTTACAACTGGTAAATGTATAACAGGATGAAACACTTCTAGGAATTTGGAAAGGTGCAAGCTAGGTACACTCCTCTACTCTACTCAAAAACACCCAACAACGAAAAAAGAAAACAAAATAGGAATCACGATGTTGACTTTGCATGTTAAAAATAATCAGTAGTAAATAGAAATCAGGCCTTTGGGAGTTGTTAATGAATGTTGCCAATTGAAATGTGGCACTTTTATTGTACCTTAATGACAAGACAGCAGGATCACAAAATAGTAAGACATGTGGTGAAGAAACACTGAAAAACACTGTAGCAAGTACCGAGAACTTAGCACCAAACTCTTCACACCGACAGCATTTTGTTAGTGATGTAACTTAACAGTAGCTGCTTGTGTAGTGCTTTGTCGTTACTCTGTGGAGTCGTGAGGATGAAGCACGCAAAAACCATATCTATGCCTGGAGAGTGTGCTGCATTACAGGGACCGTTCAGGTGATCAAGAAGCCTGCCTTACTTAAACGAGAGCGAGGAATCCTTTCTGTCCATCTGAGCTGCACGTACCTTCATGTTTTAGTTTTGTTTTAAAGATATTACAGACAGTTTGTGTAAGCAGTTGTTAAACAAGTAAACTCTTTCATTGTTAGTATACTATTACCTCCTGCCATAAAACAACCCCATAGGTCATTTGTACAAGCAGATTATGACCCATGTTTATGTTTACAGTCAGGAGATGACCTCCAGTGGCCGTAGTAATTACGGGTGCATTCCGAATCGCATACTTTTTCTTTTTACTTTTAGTATGTACTGCAGCTGTCCTTAAAAAGTACGTACTGTTTTATGCAGTATGCACACAATCAGGACATACTGCTTCCTCATAACATTACGCCCCGAACTTTGACCCTCGTACTCATATAACCGTTACCATGGAAATGCAACAAAATGTGTTCAAGAGCTTGCCAGAGATGAAGGTCAACCTGGACAACTCTGTTGTTATTTTACAATAAGTAATCACTGCATACATTGTAGATTCTAACATATTATATTCATTTAGAAATATTTTTCTAGCAGGAGGACGGGGTGGGTGGATGGGTCAAACAAGCACAGGACTTTGACATAGGAAACCGCTGTTTGTGTCCCATATGAAATCATAAGTCAACAATGAGTTATGGCAAGTCAAATTTTGAGTTATTTCACATACTTAACAGCTGTACTTAATTTAACCCAAACCATGAAATTTTATTTCTGTGTTTATCTCCTGTCACATAGGGTCGCTAATTCAGAAAACGCTTCTGTGGGTCGTATAAGAGGGTAGGAACAAATGACCTATGTGGTCCTTTGGGTTGGAGGAGTTTCTGCTTAATTTGTTAACAACATTCTGTAGGTCACCCTAAATCAGTGATACTCAACTTACAGCCCCCTGGCACTATAGGGTGCCAGTTGGCCCGCATAACGTTTTCTAATTCAAACTGAAAATACATGAATTCACACTCATATTTTTTTTGTACTTTGAATGTAAAAAAATGGCCAGAATGCATTAAACAACATCAAAATAGAGCTTGGTTATCCCAAAGAAGTGCCACGGAAGGGTCCCACAGACCCCCTGCATACACCTGAGGACAGCAAACATCAAAAGTTTGAAAACAGGCAACTTATTTATTGCTTATTATATAACTTATTTATTTAAAGCAAGTTGAGTATCCTTTCCTTAACAAAAACAGAAGGACTTCACTGTCATATATCAAAAGTTAATGACTCAGTTAACCTCACTTTGGGTCTGAATAACCATTATATAGTCAACTAAAGCTGATATTATACAATAAAAAGGATTCAAGGGTCCCAATAAAACTTTAAGAGGTAATTTACCTCTTTCTAACAGTGTTAGAAATTCAGTGGAATTTAACAGGGACAGTTTACAATTGATTGATTTTTTCCAAATTCTTTGTGAGCGAAGTCTTTTTCTACTCAATACAATGATCTATGTTCAGTCACAGTATTGTAGACGTCCCTATGTTGCCCTTAGAAAGGCCATCTGGTCAGTATTTGTTGAGTAAACTGATTTATTCTGGTGATTTTCAAATTAAAAAGTATTACAGTCTTAAAATGTTCAGTGAAGTCACTTGTATTATCATCGTATTTGTGTCCTACAAAGTGCATTTCATAAAAGACTCTAGTTTTGCTGGCCATAATTAAAAAAAAAGCAAAGGATATCAGACTGTGAATTAAAAGAATACCATCGCAATTTAGTTTCCGTCAGTGCTGAGATGGACATATTTTATTTAAGGTACTAATATAGAAATATTTATTGAACTGAGTATTTGGTTTGTCGTCTGCCGTCCAAATTTAAAGGCAGCAGCTGGTGAAACGTATCTGCGAGAAGCAAAACACTTTCAATTTGTTATCGTAAA